ACCGCTGATTTCTGTGCCAATATTGAACTGTATGACAGTTTTCTCTTATGAAATAGATAGCTCAGGAATGATGCCAGTTGTTGAGCCAACGGGTTTTTCGTAGGTACCTCCTTTGAACACTACTGATGCCAATTTTTTCACGCTGATACGTAGGTTTTTCTGGTGGATTCTCTTCATGCTGATTACAATAATTCCGTGTCTCTTGAAGCCAAACCCGCGACTAGGTCGTTCCAGTCCGTATTTTCCAGATCTTCAAACACCACGTCTCCAATCCCTGAGGTGTCTGGTTCGTTGATAGATCTATTAGTCGATCGAAAAAGTTTTCTCCCAACGGGGAACTACTGCCAGAAATGTTCCTTGTGCAGTATTGAGGTGTTGAAGAACTTATGGAATTAAAGCCGAGGGAGGGAATACCCATGTCAGGTTCGTCACTCATTCTGTTCTGCTGAAGACGTCTATGAACTCTGCTTCTTGGTCGTTGAACTCTATTGTTGCGTATCTCGGGGCTACTCGAGATCTGTTCGTTGCGAATAGATCGATCTGTGGCGTTCCTTACTTCGAAGACATTTTGTTTTATTTCTTGACTCAGATGCCAGTCCGGCAGAGACTGTCTGCTATGCAGTTGAATAATCCGCTTCGTGAAAACCGTTATCGGGGGCTTTTTAGTATATGGGATTGAGTACCCTTTTAGTATGCTGGTTATGTACTCTGGGCCCCTAGCTTTTGCCATGCTGGGATGTTGTGTCTTAGCCGGCCCTCCTGGAATTGGCAGTCACAATCTCCGTGATCTGCGATCTCGCATGCCACCTGACTTCCTTCTTGAGCTTGACTCGGTCTTGACGTTCTTTGAGCTAGAGTGACGATAGGAGGATGAAGCGGCAGGCTTTGTCTTATCCCAGTACTTGCTACCAGTGTTTTCTAGCCGTTGTGGACGAAAAGGCTTCTCTTTCCAGGTCGAAGGATCTTTACTTTTTACAAACTTGTGAGTTGGGGGAACACCTTATGAAGATCTTTTTGTTGATCAATGAAATTTGCTAGGGCTTCCTCAACAAATAAGTGTGATTCTGAGGGTGGGATTTCCGCTAGCCTTGCTGCTTGAAATTGCTCTTTAGGTTTGAATCCCTTTCTTCATGTTTCAATTACTTCTGCTCTTCTTGCACACGAGTAATGTAATAAATCGTCTGAAATATTCCTGAATGAATCTTCACCAAGGAAGGGTTGATGGCGTTAGCTATTCCAACAGTGGGCAATGCGAATCTTAGTTTATTCAGCACCTGGGTGTCAATGTTTCCCGGACCAAAAATATCCTCATTGAAAAGTTGCACGGACTCCCAGTTCGTCGACCCCTCAGGTAGAGCTTCATGCGCCAACTCTTTCAGTCGGTTCAGTACTTCGTCCTCAGCCTCTGTCTCCGCCGATTCCTCCAGCAGTTAATACAACGTTGTGAAGGCCAAAGCTATCGCCATCTATAAAGCAAAACAACCATTAGTACTGGTGACGGATCGTATAGGTAATAGTTAGAGTTTTGTGAACTTTGCATACTGTTAAAGCGACAGTGAAGGTCGCTGGGCTGGCAAACGGCTTTGCCGATGCTTATTTGGCCTTGCGACGCCTCCGCGAGCCTTCCAGATTACAGATCCGGCGGCTGAGACGGATCCTCGCCGTAGCGGCTCCTCTCTTTCGGCCGTGACGGCTCCCTTCCTCTGGCTGTAACGGCTTCCGGGCCAACCAAACCTAAAACATATAAAGACTAACTGAAACGAGATTTTCTTTTCATCTCTAAATCGAAAACAAATCCCCAAAGAATATCAGGCCTTCTAGCCTTCTCTGACTTCCTAATTAACTTTCATTCGAAGAGCTTCACGAACGTTACAACAACGTTGGCTAGAAACATACTACTCTACAATAGCGTATTGTGTAGTTCCGCTGTAGATCGCGCTAGCCGACATATAGCGCCAAAAGGGGGGACTAGTTGGTTCACAAATCTCTGGCTTGCGCAGCTGCGTAGAACTAGATGCACATGAAAACGCAATAGGTAATCACCGATAGGTCCAGCCGAAGGCACAGACCTTAAAAATATCTGTTGAGTGTATATACTTTTGCAAGTTCTATCGTACCACAACAGAAGGGTTGGTCAACTAGATAGAAGCACTTATTCAAATAAATTATGGGTTCAAATTTACGAAGACGATTTGTGTGCCCAACTGTTATTGAATTGCAAAATGCTACAAATGTTTTCTTTGTATTTTGTGTCAGAATGTCATGGTCCTTTTTTTATTAATAATAAACGCCACACCCTGAATAGACGACATCCTGGTTTTCTCCAAAGATGAAAGTCAACATTATAAACTATGTTTTTTAACGACTTCAAGAAAATAACTTGTCTATCAACGCTAACAAATGCAAACAAATTTCGTTAAGAAACGAGATAAATTTCCTCGGCTTTTCCGTCAACTCCACTGGATTTTCACTTACAGGTAATACACAAAGCCACAAGAGAGTGTATAACCAATACGTTTGGAGCAACTGTTGAATAGGAAGGGAATGGTACCATTATGCCAATTGAATTTATTATTAAATGCTTTCGACATCACCTGAAATCACTTTTCAACAAAAACCTGCAACATGCTTCTGAAAGACCACCGAAAAACAAAACAAAATTATCAATTTACAACAGAAATAGTCCATGTGAAGGAAAATGGATATGTGAATATATGAATGAATACGTGTGTTAACACAATTTCGTTTCCAATAGTTACGAATCCTGATAGTATACAACAAGTTTAACAAAACGATGAAGAACTAATAAATTTGGTTCAAAGTACCTCTTAATTGAGTTAAGAGTTAGAAGTTATTCTCAACGTCATTTTTTTTTTGTAATATCTCCGTCCCTATATACCACAATCTCCGCAAAACTACTTTTTCATCTATAACCTCTCACATCCTAGTTGAAATGTAACTTCACAACAACTAAGACATGAATTTGTCTGATCTGGAATTAAGAAATTATAATTAGTGCTTAATCACATTCAAGTACCTGATTCTAGACTTAGTCACGTTCATTTTGGTCTGATAGTTTTACAAAACATTAACGACTTTCAGTAATATATTACCATCACTGATCGCTTCAGAGAGGCTAGAGGCTATATCCCTCAAGGACATGACTTTGGAAGCAGTAGTAACTGCCCTATGTAACCACTAGAGCAGCAATTACGATAATCCTACAAAAGGAATTTCATGGACAATACGTTTTCGATTTTACGTACGAGCTTAAAAAATGGCGCACCGGTCATAACAGTAGTTATTTAATGAACTTTTTTTTCTTAGGTATTTTGTGTGGAATAAATGTTTGGTATATCAAGTAACGTGCACATAAATGCAGTGTCTTTCTCTTTCTATGTCCATGTGTTAGAATTTGTGCTCGAATTGTGTAAAAAAAAAGTAGTCCATGATGTCTCAGCATAGAACTTGGTGGCTTTGTTCCTGCTTTACGCCGATAGTGGTCGTGGTATGCCGCTTTCCCGGAAACTATCTTTTCTGGTATAGTTGTCTTTAGGACCTTTTCTTCTAGCTGTTTCATCCATGTATCCGTTTCTTTAATTTGGCATTCATGTTTATTTTTAATTTTTTATCAAAATTTTTCTTCAAATTCCTGTGAACTTTCATTCAGCTGTTCAGTTAACTTTTCCTCTGATGATCATTAATTTTGATTTAGTTTTTCTTCTCATACCTTTGAATTATCACTTTTGTACACATTACTCCAATGCTCTACTGTTTTCATTGAATTTTTGTTCTAAATCCTTTGTATTTTCATTTAATTTTTATTCGCTTTTCTTTTTTGTATTATTGGATCACCTCTTCATATTTCAACTACCTCCAAAGACCTATTTCTATTGCCAAAGAGTTCTCCGAAATTTTCTCAATCTTTGTACAACATTCTTGAAATTCTTTTGTTACCATATTGGGTGGTCTAAAAGTACAAACAGAGGCCAGCCCGGCCCTGGAAAGATTACGCAGGGAAATGCGACAATGCAATGTCGTTTCAATAGCTTTTGGTACGATAAAACTCCATGCTACAATGTGGCGAATATTAAAGGAACAGTTGCTGCATCCTTATCATTTGCAGCGAGTGTAAGCCTCACAGGAAACTGATTTTCAACCGCGAGTATATTTCTGCCAGTGGCTTTGGCAAAAAAATACTGTTGATACCAATTTCTTCAATATGGTGTTGTGTACGGACGAATACAGCTTCATGAGCTATGGAATTTTTAAATGAAATACTCCAAATCCTGGATGTTTTTACGTGAAATAATTTTGGTATGTGCGTCGTGGCACTTGCACTTCTAATTTCGAACAATTCTGTTGAATAACGCGGATAAATTTTGACCTTCTATGTTTAGACGTGCGAATCGATAATCGGATGCGGCAACTTATGTGACCAATCGTGTAGCAGTATTTAAGATTGGCTCTGTAACACTGAGGCAAATACAATACGTAAACAATTGACCGATTGTATGGTTGCAGTACGGATTTCCGAGACCCTAGCAAACCTGGTTACTAAATATTAAATGTTGATGTGCAGTATTATGATTTTGTCCGAATTACAAAGTAACGAGGTTACGGGCTAGCGAGTCTCTACTGTATTAAATTTAAATTAAATCTCAGAGTAGTGGACAATGATAAGTAATGATTTATCAATTACAATATAAATATGCTTGTAGTACCTACCTGATAACGTTTTAATAAATGCTAGAAAACATTGTACATGTGAAATTACTTACCTTTTAAATTAGATTTTACTGACTGTCATTTAACTCGAGATTTAATACATGGTCATGTGATGTGTCATAGTGGTCGAATTTTTAAAATTTTCATCTATTTTTAATTGTGTATGATGAACATTTTTTCAAAAAAACACGCTTTTTATTAACTAATGAACTGTACAGAACTGTTAAATTTTAAGTCATGCTGTTTTAATATGATTTTCATTGATGCTTCAGGGTCCAATGTGGAGACAAGTGCGCGGTAATGGATTATCTTACGGTTACAGTATAGGTTTACGAACAAACGAGGGAGTGCTCTTTCTGTCGTTCAGTCGATCTACGAACGTAACTGATGCTTACAAAAAAGCATATGAAATTGTTACTAATCAGTTAAAAGACCAACAGTGGGAAACCAATATGTTCGAATCAGCGAAAAGTTCCCTAATTTTTGAATTGGTCGAGAACGAATCAACAGTTGGGAATGTTATTTCGCGTTCTTTAGAATCTTATTTTCATAAGATTGAATATAGTTATTACAGGTACGCCTTAGGAGGGTTTAGACTTAGAAGATTTTATTATTCTATTAATGTTCTTGTCTCTCAATTTCTCCCCCTTTTTTGTTTTATTGATCTACCCCTCCCAATATTTTTGATTTTTATGTTAGTATTCCAGAATAATTATTTAATTTTCAGTTAATGTAATAAGTATTTTTTATGTAAAAAATTATTTCTTGTAGGAAATTGATTGATTTAATAACTCAAGTTACTGTAGAAGATTTAAACAGAATCGGAACCAAATACGTAGCTGCACTTTTAGATCCTACCAAAGTTAAAACAGCTGTTGTTTGTGATGCAAGAAAAGTTAAAGAAATATCAGAAGGTTTTAAAAAGTGAGTACTGGTACTTTTAGAATTTATCTTTTTATTCGGATGTATTCTTTTCAGTTTAAGTGTGCCGTTGGAAATATTTCCTACATTGGAAGAAAGCTTTCTGAATAAATAGTGTTAAACACATCTATTTAGAATCCTATTTGCATTACATTAAAATAAATATTTACCCGAAAACGAAGTTTTTTGATTCATATAAGTCTTATTTTTGTTATGTATTATTTGTATAATGTATGATAATCGAAACGTTCAAAAGTATAATGAAGGTGTATGTGTACGTTAGTATAACAAAGAAGGTCAAAGTTCTTGTAGCATAGAACCTATGTTCTGGAATGAAATCTTTATAGAGCTTTTTTTTCGTTTAGATTATTCTCGAGGAGGGGAAATCTTCAAAAGACATCTCCTGAAGGGAGGTAGTGTCGGATTTTTACCGACTAAAACCCCTCCTCGAGTGGGGAGATAAACCCTAAAGGCTACTCATCTCCGGGAAGAGAATGGAAGGTTGGGTTTGGGGAGAGGGTTAAGAAGGGAAAATGGTTAAGCGTGGGGTTGGAGGGTGGGGAGAACGGTCGGAATAGGTTGTCCACCTCTGAAGTGATGGGTGGACACTCGGGCTAAAAAGCGAAGCTAGGAGTGAGCGAACGAAAGCGGCTCATTGTAGAAGGTGACAGGGCTTTCGGAAACGGTCGTTTGGTTTCGGGGCGAAGTTGGAGATTGTCGAAATGGTAATGTTTACATGGCCTGATACTGAGGCCCGGATATTTGTTGCGAATGTACACTTTCTTTTTAGAGCAAGTTCATCCCCTTTAAATAGTTGGATGGTCGGATGAAGAAGAGTTTTAGTTGCGAGACGATAGGAGGCGAAATGAGAAGAGCGAAGAAGCGATTTAGTGACAGTAGTAAACAAGTGATTAATGATTCCTAGTGATGCTGTTTGAAGATTGGTATTTTATTACGTGACAAAAACATTGCTTTAGGTAAAATATGTATTGACCTTCTGTATTCTGTGATCATTATACATTTCTTTAACACCCCTTAACAGTTTTGACGTACATGTAAGTACCTAGGGAAAGAGAATCCACTGTACCGACGCTGGAACGTTGGTTAATAGTAGATATGTATGTAAGAAACTATTTACGAAATCAACACAAACTTTATTAACAATAAGTTGGTACAAGCAATGCAATACACATTACATTCGTCGGCTTTTGTTATACTAATGATAATGATAATGTATGGCTTCGTTGTTTTTCATCGGACTTCTTCGGATCTCGAAGACGTGTGGGTGGGAATATTTACAGGTTAGATGTTAACACGGCCATCTTGGTACAGGAGCGTCTTCGCTCCGGGCAAAGACTGAAACAGATAGGCAATTAAGCTGTGGATTTTTTTATTTATTTTATTTTTCTTTATTCATACTGTGAGAACGCCACCACGTTATTTATTGATATTTAGGTCGTGAGATTATCACGTGGTGGGAGTGCCACTCTCCCAAATTTTGTGGGATTGCCACCTTCATCGATCATGTGGGGTGCCACATGGCGTTCATCATCAAACTAGTGGAACTGTTCTGTTGTACTTTGATTATTCAAGTCAATTATTTTGTTATTCGATTTATTTCGTTCTGTGCAGTTTTGTTTTCAGTCAAAGCAAGAAATAGTTTTGTATGACGTTGACCATAGTAAAATATTACCATGACCTTCATCAGCTATTGTAGTGCAGAAGTAGCTTATGAATCATGCTTCTGGAGAGTAAAATTTGTTGTTTTAAGCGGCGGTTTCAAATTTCTATATTGAGTTTTGATTTTTGTTATGATTTTGTTTGACTGTGTTTATACTTTTGCAATTGTAAAACTTTTGAATGAATAGAAAGAAAATAGTTTACTTACAGCAGATAACCAATTTATGCTATACCGAGTGTTCGCTTGGCCAGTGCCTAATCTGATCATGTGCCGCTACCGTCGTCCGCCCTTTTCTACATAGTAGGTAACGGTCATTAGGTAACAATTTTTGTACCTAATAAGGGCCTTTGAATTTGGGCTTTAACTTGCCAGCAAGTTGAGAATCTTCTATTGCTACCAATTCTCCTACGGAAAATAGGGTTGGTGAGTAACGTTTTAAGTTAAAGCGTTCAGCCTGTCGTTTGGCTGACTGTGCAAGTCGCCTTTGGGTTTCTAACACAGCCTCTTCTATGTCGGGGATAACGTCGTTTACTGGGACATTTTCTATGAATCGATGAGTTGCTGGTAGTTTTGAGTTTTTTCTATATTGTAGAACACTTGGAGTAAAACCCGTTGTTTTATGTACTGTTGCATTTATGTTCTTTTCTATGTCTGGGATCGCTGCAACCCAATTTTTCTCATTCTGATCGTTAAGGGTGGCTCTCAACAGATTGAACACCGTTCTCATGACACGTTCCACCTGCCCGTTGCCTCTGGGAACACCAGTGGCGATGTGATGCTGGTAGATCCCTTGTTTATTCATGAAATTTCCAAAGGTAACTGACGTAAATGATGCTGCTCGGTCAGCTATGATACGCCTGGGTTTGCCAATGACTTGGAACAGTGTTAGCAGAGCCTTGATAGTGTCTTCGGAATTCTTTTTGGGGATGGGGCTCAGGCTACAATACATGGAAAAAGCATCCACCACAACAAGTAATTGGATGCAACCATGGCTTCGGACTAACGGGCCAGCATGATAAATGTGCTAGGTTTTAAGAATATCTTTGGGTTGTTTTTCTAATAGATACAGGCCAACTCTGTGTCCAGTGAAAGATTTTTCCAATATACAGGATTTGCAGTTACAAATATATTTCTTTAGGCATTTTCCCATCTTGGTCCAGAACAAATCTTCGCGCATCTTCGCAACGCATTTATCCCATCCAATGTGGGAAGATAGATCGTGGTACAACCGCTTGAAGGCGGTCAGCTACTGGAACATAGCATTTAGGACGTTTTTCTCTTGTCACAACAAAGTTATTTAAGATTTGGTAGGTAGGATAGTCTTGTGGTTTCGCGAAAACATTTAGACAAAACTCGTCATTCTGTTGATAATCGCGCAACGACTCCACAGATGTAATGCCTTTCAGTTTTGGTTTTGATTTTATGGCACATATTAGCTTTGCTGGGTTTCGGCTTAAGTAGTCTACGTGACACATTTTGTGACCAGGTCGATACTCAATAGAGAAATTATAGTCCTGCAATTTCATCCACCGCCTGGCCACGCGTGGATGTAAATTCCTTTTAAGTGCTGTTGCCCGGACCGAATTGCAATCAGTAAACACCGTAAAATGTCTGCCATATAAGTAATTTAGAAAATGTTCTACGATATCGACGACAGCTAGAGTCTCTAAATCATTGGAATGGTATTTGGCTTCGTAATCGGTTGTATTTCTGCTATAATAGGCTACTGGACGAGTTACACCTTGTTCACTTTGTAAAAGGGCCGCACCAATACCCAAAGCACTAGCGTCAGTGTATAATTCATTAGTCAAGTCCGCATCAAAAATGCGTAGAACTGGTTTGTTCACTAATTTACTGTTTATTAATAGGCCTAGCAGCTTCACACTCTGGAGTCCAGTCAAACACCTTGTTTTTCCGTAATAGGTTTGATATATGCGCCGTGGTCCGTGAGATTCCTTTAATAAAACGCCGGAAATAACTCGCGAGCCCCATAAATTGTCTTACACCTCTTATGCCTGAAGGTGCAGGTTAATGCGTAAGAGCTTCAACTTTTCGCGGACTTGGACGCACTGATCCGCCACTAATTATGACAACCAGATATTCTGTTTCTTTGGAGAAAAATGTGCATTTTGCGTAATTAAAGGAGAAGTCGGAAATCGCTAGTGCTTGTAAGACATTTTGGAGTCGCTGCAAGCCTTCTTCTGTCGTCGTGAAAGAGACCAAAACATCATCCATGTAGACATGAGCCTCGGTTCCTCTCAATTCACCTAATGCCTTATATATTGCACGTTGATAAACCGTTGGTGAATTAACGAACCCAAACGGAACTCTGTTGTATTCAAACAATCCATGTGGGGTTATAAACGCAGTATATTTTCTAGAGCTTTCCTCGATTTCCATTTGATGGAACCCAGCTTTCATGTCCAGCGTGGAAAAGTAAATTGCATGGCGTAATGTGCCTATCTGGTCCTGAATTCTCGGTAATGAGTATGGTTCCCTTATAGCCTTTTTATGGAGGTCTCTATAGTCAACACATAGTCTCAGTTTTCCGTTCTTTTTACGGACAAGAAATATAGCATATTCGGAATGGCTTTCACGAATTGTCCCTTTCTGTAGAAGTTCTCATATGAGTTGCTTGATTTGTATCTGCTTCACATATGCCAATTTTCTGGGTCGGTAAGTAACAGGAACATCATCCTTTAGTCTGACAACCAGTTTTCCGGTAAGTATAAGATCAGGTGTCATATTTCTTGTTGTTATTAATAAGTTTTTCAGTTGTAATGTTGCTTGTTCGTTTAATTCCAATATTTTTATGTCACTTATAGCCTCGTCTTTGTGGACAATCAATACTTTGGGGATGTTGAACGGGTCTTCATAAAGTTCCACGCCTCCGGCATTTTTCGAGTCGTACATTTGGTCTATTAATTACGTCCATTCCGATTACAGCATCCAGACTAGCAGGCATGGACTTATCGAGTACAATAGTAAACACAATCTCGAGAGTGACTGCCGGCATCACTGCGACAATTTCACACATGCCTGAACCATAAACAGTTTCTGAGCCCAAGCCACTTAGCGGTTGCTGATATGGTCTAATTACGACGTTCAAATTTTTGGCGGTAGTTTGGCTAATAATAGACACTTGAGCGCCCGTATCGATAATGTATCGGAATGATAAAGCTTTGTTTTCGGACAGAACAGTAGCAATCTGAGATCTACCTAATGCCCGACCTTTTCGTATTAATAGGATGTTATTCGGCTTTCCATGCTTAAACCAACACTTATCTTCATGATGCCCTATCCTTTTGCAATTTTTGCAGACCGGAGGGTTAGGGTCGGACTTTGACTCCTCGTTCGTCGTATCAATTTTGTTAGAAATGTTTCTGTTGCGAAAACGACATTCTTTCCGAGAATGTACTCGTTGTCCACATTGGAAACATGGTCCTTGAAAAGTCGATTTGGACATCGTGTTATGTCGGCCGGACGTTGAAAGGGC